CTTTTAATAGGGTGTAAATTCTTAAGGTGATTAAGTCAAGACTCCTTTCTGAAAGCCTTTGTTTTAGGAAACAAACCTGAATCTCTTTTAAGAAAAAGGGGAAGTAAATGTCAAACTGTCCTGGGTTTGCTGGGCTTTCCCCGATTTCAGTTTGAGATCAACTGCAAGAAGCCAAGGTGCCCACAGACCGTACCCTTGCCTGTCTCCCTCAACCGCTATGTAAAACCAGTCACCAAAACCAGCTGATTTCGCCTCTAAGTATTTCTTGAAGTTGCCCCCTTCACACTATCCCTTTTGGACCAGCGTTGATTAAAGTGTAGCCAATATTCCCTCCCCCAGCCTCGTGGGAGACAGATGCTTCCCTGTCCTATGAACGTTGGGTTTGGCCTTGCAGCTTGCTGTGGGCAGCAGAAGGGTAGAGGGTGTGGCTGTGGTTGTGCAGATGAACTCTCGTCAGGTGAACACTCCGCAGGTAGCCTCGGCCACCTGAACCATGGCGACCCACAGGCACAGGTCTGACAAGAAAAGGCTGATGCTTGTGTGCCACTGAGGAGTTGTGGCCAGTCTCCAGATGGCCCCAAGCGGTGACAGCAGCCAGGCCAAGTGTGTCTGCCTGGAATCAGGCAGTTGCCTCCAAGGGGGTGTCACTGCCTCCCCCTTTCCAGCTCCGTCCTTCATGAGTCCAGCCAGTGACTCTGCCTCCTTGACACATCTGAGCTGGTCTGGTTTACTCAGACCTGTTCAAAGAGAACAGAAACCCAATTCAGAATGCTCTCAACAGAAAGGAAGGAAGGAAGGAAGGAAGGAAGGAAGGAAGGAAGGAAGGAAGGAAGGAAGGAAGGAAGGAAGGAAGGAAGGAAGGAAGGAAGGAAGGAAGGAAGGAAGGAAGGAAGGAAGGAAGGAAGGAAGGAAGGAAGGAAGGAAAGAAAGAAAGAAAGAAAGAAAGAAAGAAAGAAAGAAAGAAAGAAAGAAAGACAACTGAGAATGCATTGTTTGTGTGTGAATCACCTAAGCCAGGGATGTCCAACATTTTGGCATCTCTGGGCCACGCTGGAAGAAGAGCCGTCTTGGGCCACACATTAAATACGCAAACACTGATGAGCAAAAACAAGGTCTTTGTGTAATTTTCATGATGTCTGCCACCACAGATGAACAAGAAGGCACTCACTCAGTAACCCTGATTATGCCGTGGCCCTTTCGATAATCTTCTACAATCATCCAGCAGGTCCCAAGTTAGTGATCACTAATCTAGAAAATGTACATGTCCAAGTAATAAAACTATGTAATGATTTACGTAAATTTATGCTTTTGTGTTGGGCCGCAGTCATGGCCGCCTTGGGCCTCAGGTGGGACACCCCTCATCTGGGGGCTGTTTGAACTTCCATAGTTCATGGCCGGATCCAGTCGTCCAAACACGTTCACCAGGGATATGTCTCCCTCTGTCATCGGCAGGTTCATTCTCAAACAGGCCCCCCGCCCAGGGGCGGAAAAACTGCCACTAACAGGTTCTGGGCTTAACTCCTACAAGTTTATTGACTCTAAAAGGAAGAGAATACTTCTAATTGCTTCCGCCAAAAGTTTAAGGGCAGACTCACTGCACTCCTCTGGGTCAGAATGAGACAGGCAACTATTTCCTTACCCCTTCGGGTCTGGCTGGTCCAATCATTCAAACAGCACATCAGATTAACAGGAGGAAAAAAAATTAATGTGTGCTCGTGGGGGACTCACAAAAACATGAAAATTCCAAAGATAGTGAGACAACTTTGGGTACATAAGACATTTTTGGACAGAGGAGAAGACAGGGGACAATGACTCAGGATGAGTGGAATTGGGAAACTGGGACAAGTAGTTAAAGGGCCAGGCAGTTTACAGACATCTAATGCACCACAAAATCCTATCTCCCCAACCAAGGACACAGAAGAGTAAATGGCTTAGATCCTGGCTGGTCAGCTTGGTTGGTTGGAAATGTAGTCCCAATAAGCTAGTCCCAATAAGCAGAGGCTTGAAGCTTCCATCCCTGGTAGGAGCACAAACAAGGGTCAACCAATGAATGCATAAATGATTGGAGCAACAAATCACTGTTTCTTTCTCTCTCCCCCCTTCCCGTTCTCTAAAATCAATCATTTAAATTTACAAAAAGAGTAAATGGTTTACACTTCTCCGTAGCCATAGGGTAAATAACTTAAATCACCCTACTCAGGAAGATGGAGAGCAGAGATCCAATGAGCGCTGTTCCGGTCAACCACGCCCAAGGACAGATAAAGTTAAGGGAATAAATATGGTGCTGGTGTGTCAGCATAGAGCTGATGAGTGTCCTGTTGAGACCCTCCGCTAAGGCCTCCCCTAAGCCCCCAGGCTTTAATACCCTCCAGATGAAGGACCCAGGGCTCGCCCTCCCTCCCAGGAGCACGCCCTTGCCTTTCCTCCCTCTCAGGTGGGCATCTCCTAAACTCTAAAGGTCCCCACAAGACTTGCAACCAGGGGAGCACAGGGCAGCGGCAGCTCATCCCAGGCGAACCCCCTGCACCTGCCTCTGAGGCCCCCTTTTCTCTGACTGTCCAGTGACCAGAGCAGCCTCACCCAGGCTTTCTCCATTCGCTTCTTTTACCCTGAGCCCTTCCTTATATCACTGTCCCCAGATTTCCATAAATGTCGTCTCAAAATCATCTGGACAGGCCAGCCTTAGACAGACTCACTCCGGGCCCAGTTCCTATCTGGAAGTTTCAACAGAACTGAGACTTCCAAGGGAAGATTTAGATAGAAAGACAGATGAGACAGACAGACAGACAGACAGACAGAGAGAAAGTGATCAAAAGCAAGCTGGCCCTACAGACGGGTACAGGTAGAGGACAGGTGTGTAGATAAGCTCACTCATAAACCAACTTCCTCTTCTAGTACTTTCAAGTCATGGGCAGAGCCTGAACGCACCTGTCTTCAGAGAGGTGGAAGCTGTATTTGAGAGGACATGGTTCTGACCACTTTCACCAGGCGCTTGAGCCTCAGAGGGGAACCGATGAGCGATCCAGGGCCCATGGAACAACCAGAATGTCCTCAAAGAGAAACCGGGTGCTTCTTCCCTGTTATAGATTCGCTCCCTGGCCAATTCCAGCGTGCCTGCCACAGCAGGAGGTAGAAGAAGAATCCTGTTTTTAAAAGTCCTTGGAGATCTTGCATTTAGTTAAATAAAAGCATTTTGCATCATCCCAAGAAGGAAGCAAAGAATAGAAAACTCCTGTGTAACTCCCGTGTTTCTGAATTCCTAAGGACCTGGAGCCTCCTTGACTTGATTGTCTAAGACGCTGGTTGAGGTCTGGCCCTCAGAGGCCAGTGCCATAAGTAAGCACCACCTGGCCTCGAAGCCTCACCACCAGCTGAGAACTTTTCCCAGAAGCCCTGAGCAGGGTCAACCATGAGCAGCTCCTCACCACACACAGTTCTGTTTGGCAACATGAATTTCCACTAGGAAGGCGGAGGGAGAAAAACAGAACTGTCTTTAAAAAAAAAAAAAACTGAAAGCAGTTACCAGGCCTTGGCCTGGCCCCAGCGAGCTGTAGAAAGAAGCCGCAAACTTCCTGATCCCCAGCTGCAAGCCCAGGCGGGTTTCCTGGCTGGTGGAAAGTGTGCCACCCCCAGGGAGAGCCGGGCTGCGGGCCAGCCCAGAGGGCCCCCTAACTCCTGCTTGTGGGCTGTGCTGCAGCCGAAGGAAACTTTGTAGTCAGTGTTCAGGCTGGGTCACTTACTGCCCGCCCTCCCTTCTTTCCCCCTCTTGACCCCCGTTGTTCTGTGGTCTCAGAGCATCCTATTCACTGTCTGGGGGTGGTCATGGCCAAAAAGAAGGGTGCCTTCCAATTGCTTGCTGTCTCACTCCTCCTCTCCCTCTCTCCTCCACCTTCCACCTCCCTTCAACCACCACCGCAGTAAAAATAAAATGTACCCCCTTCCCCCCCGGGGCATCATCCAACCCGCAGTGGGAAGACTCCTAGTCTACTGGGTGCCTATTTCTCTGCAGGCAGGTAGGTAGGTAGGTTCCAATGAGCAAAGAGAAAGGATTCCCCTGAAGGGGGAGCCAAGACTCTGCCTCCTGAAGCTGCCCTTGCGGGAGATAGATTTTAAGCTGTTTATTAAGAAGCAAGACTCAGAGAGAACTTTTCACTCCCCTCCCCCTTTCCTGCCCAAGAGATTCTGGCAGAGGGACCCAGTTCGGGAAGATCCCAGGGTGTTGCCCCAGCCCCATTGGAATGAAGCACAGTGAACATAGGGCTTCAGACCGGGGTCTGTTCGCCAGGTAGCCCTGGGTCCCATTGTTTCTGAGTCAGCTGGCAAGAGTCGTCCTGCCAGGTACGTTCCCCTCTCCCTCAACTACCTGTGGATTGCCCACTCTCACTTCTCAGCTCTAATACCCTGTCCCATCCCCCACCCCCACCTTTCTCTTTTGTCCAAAAAAGGTCCATACACCCAATGTTGTCTTTGAGATTTTTCACGGGATGATCCTGCCGACGTGAATGAGCATGCATTAAACTCTGATTTTTCTCCTGTTAGCTTGGTTATTAGCCCGGTCCAGAATAAATGAGAAGGTGGGGAGGAAAAGTATCAATACGTGTTCGCCCTCCCCCGCCCCCAGTCCGCACCACACACAGGCTGCACTGGGAGCTGAACTTTCCTTTCTTCTTAGGAAAGACCCTCGATCCCACCCCCTGGCACAGGACTCAGCCCTGGCGAACAGCCTGCTTTCCGGAGCCACACTGCTGGGGGTCAAATGCACCAGGAAGAGCCCCAGGCCGGGCTGGCCACACTCAGACAAGGCTCTGAAGCCCTCAGTACCTCCACTTTCTCATCTGTAAAATGGGCATGGTTGTGCTGACCCCCGTGTAGAGGTCCCCGTGTGAGGCCAGGGACAGGACAGGCCGGACCCACGGCCTCTTCTCTCCCTTCTCTTCTCCAGCCTCGCGCCCTCGTTCCCCACTGATCCCCTCGGCTCAGATCCCCAGGCCTCTTCAGACTGTAGTCTCATCCTTTATTTGCAAACATGTCTGCTGGATTTCCAACGAACATGCTTCTGAGTCGAGTAAAAAACAAAACACACGTGGGGATGGGCGGGGAGAAAGGCTGACAGACATGTGAGTAAACAGGGAAAGATTTTCGAAGGCTGGATACAGAGCTCCGATGCTGGGGGATCAAACTGACAGAGTTTTGATATGAGGAGGCACAGGAGCAGAGGGGCATTCTTGAGGGGATTAAAAAACACCAGAAACACGGCCCCGCCTCCCTCCTTTGCGCCAGCCCTTGGAGCTCTGCTCACTGGCTAATCAAGGCCTTGTCACCCCCCCCCCACCATTGACATGGTCACAGTTGAACCTGCTTGTTCCCGTAATTCATTAATAACGCTCCAAGTTCAATATTCAATTATTCATACAAACAGTGTGGGCCGAGCTAAACGCACAGCCTCCCCGTTAGGGACCTTGGCTATTCAGCCAGCTTTTGAGAAGAGAAAAGCCACACACCCGAATCGGCGCTGCAACCACAGAGCTTTCGTGGTTCAGACAGGGAGGCCGGTGGGCCCAGTGGACAGTCCCAGCCCAGCAGCCAACTGTCCCTGGGCCCAGGACAGTGTCCTTCCAGGGCTCGTTCGCATCCGGAAGCTGCAGGCAACCCCAGGATGGGCAGGCTTCTCTGGTCCTCTTGCTTGGAGAGCTGGGGAAGAAGATTCCCCAGGGCCTCACCTTCCTCCCAAGCCCACGGAACCAGGCTGCTGAGGGGCCTTCTGGGAGACGGGGATTTCTTTCTCTCCTCCTTCTCTTCAGAGCTGCTCAGAATGGGGCTCATCTCGGGCTTCGGGGGCCAAAGGCAGTTCCAGGAATGAGAAGGAGAGTCTGACTCAAGAAAGAAGCATCTTAGCTCTGAGGCTCGGCTGCCCCGTCCTGCAGGGGAGTCTCTTTGTGGTCCACCGCCTCAGCACCCGCCTCCAGGTTTGGCTCTGCTCCCGAGGGCTGCTTTCCCGGTTCCTGGAGCTCCACCGCCAGGGTGGCAGTCTTGCTGGTGTGGCATCCCATCTCAGCTGGACGCAGAGGGCCGAGGGGCCTGGGATGTTCCCAGAGGAGCTGGTTCTGTGCGGCTGGTCCTCAGGGTCCAGAGTTAAATAACTTCCTCAGAGCACTGTCCAAGGAGAACTGGCTCCGTTTCTATGGTCACAGGGGAACGCCATGTCCAATTTGCATAAAGAGCACACAGTCTTCGGGGTGGGCAGGGCCTGGAGGGCTGCCCTTCCGGGTCAACTGGGCTAGTTCCCCGCTCCCCTTATTCCACAGACAGAATTCCCTTTTGTGTAACCTTTAACTCTTTTACCGATGACAACCCGCCACCTAGCTACCTGTAAACACGGACTCTTTTCTTTGCACGTAAAGAAAGCCCCGTTACTATGCAACTAGTTGGGGCTGCTTTTTCTGTCCCGGGTCACATTCAGTTCAGGGACTTACAGAGCCCCAGGGCAGAGCCTGTCCCCTACCCTGGAATGTCAACCTCACCCAGGGAGTCCTGAAACCAAGGACGCCAGGGGTTACCCCAACCTGTAGGTAACTAAAAGAACTAGCAGATAGTGTGTGCTACTCTGTGCCAAGTGCGGTGTCTGCTCTTGATCTTGTTTAACCCTCACGACGAGGAACCGTACTGAAGCCTAACTCAGCAGGCGGAGACACCGAGGCACAGAGACTCAGTAATTTATTTCAGGTAGTTCCTAAAGGTCAGGAAATGGCGGAGCTGGGATTCAAACCCAAGCCGGTTGTGTGGATTCCACGCTGTCTGGGTAACTATGCTAATCTCGTCTCCTCTCCAGGCCCGTCACGCAGTCTCCACGCACCATCACGGTGCTCTCAGCGGGGCAGATCTGTCGTGCTCTTTCCATCCGAGGCCGTGGGTACAGGTTTTCAAGGCTGTAAATGAATGGTCTCTGATGCAAATGCTTCTTGAGCCAAGCCTGCAGGTCGTGCATAGCAACAAAGCTGACATCAGCCCTGGCAGCGTAGCTCAGTTGGTTAGAGCATCGTCCCGACACGCCAAGGTTGTGGGTTCAATCCCCGGTCAGGGCACATACAAGGGTCAACCAATGAGTGCATGAATAAATGGAACAACGGGTTGATGTCTCTCCCTCCCACCCTCCCTTCTTACCCCAAGAAAATAATCTTTTTTTTTTAAATGACATCAACTCCTGTCCACTTCTGGAGAGCCTCTGACCCTGTGCATGACCCTCATTTCTTCCTCATGATCAAACAGTCCTACGAGGAAGAATCACTGATTCCGATTTAAAGTCAGCGTCATAGAGTCCACAGTGGTTTGCCTGATGGTCAGTTGCCCGAGGCCACCACTTGGCAAGCAGCCAGCTCAGGGCGCTGTCTCACAGGGTTGTGACCCCCAGGCTCCCCTTCCCATCCCAGTGCCACTGCCCCTGGTGAACACGGTCCCCCCTCCTGGACCTGAGCCACCAGGGCTCTGCAGGAAGGTGGCACGACCCCCCTAAAAGCAACCTGTCTTCCAATGGCCTTTGTGCTGAATGAGCTGGCAAAGCAACAATTAGGAGTTATGAGGCTGTTAATGTACCCCTCCCGGATGAACAGGAAAGTGCAATCTGGGGGTGTCAGATTAAGACACCCTTACCTTCCAATTAAGAAGCCCTAAGTGAGGTGAATCCTCCTTCGGCTGTTGGGGGCCTGGGGCAACAACCCTCCTGTGAAGTGTCCACCTGATCCTGCTTATCCTGAGGCTGCGCCAGGGGCAGGCAGCAGGTACCCCCAGATCCCAGTGAGCCCCTCAGGCCGGGCCTGGGGCGGCAGGCAGGTCAGAGGTGTGGCCCACGGCAGCCTTTGAGGGCCCTTTCGCTAAGCGAAACCTGCTGAGAAGCCTCGCCCTGCCTGGGACCCTGAGACCCTGCGACCCTGCCAGGGACTGGGAGACACCCCCCTGTAAGTGGAGAAATAGACTCTGGTACATTCACTCAGAAGGATACTACTCAGCAGTGAGAAGGAACAAACTACTGATACATGCAAAACGCAGAATGGATTCCAAAGACAGTAGGTTGGGGGGGGAGGTGGGGGAGCCAGTCTCCAAAGATGACGTATTGTTCGATTTCATTTATGTGACCTTCCCCAACAGACAAAACCCTAAAGATGGAGAATGAAATGTTAGCTAAAGGTGGGTTTTGGCGCTCTGTATTCTAACTGTGGCGGGGTTACCCAAACCTGCGTGTGTGCTAAAACTTCATAGACCTGTATAGCAAAATATTAAGAAGTCGAATTCAGTGTATGCTCATTTAAGAAAAGTCTTTAAAATTCTGAAGATCAGTCAAACACAAATATAAATAAAAGCTGTTTGCAGGAGCCCAGCGGCTTATTTTGCCATCTGGTCCTGGCTTTTAAGATCATTCAAAACTGCTTTCTCTCCTGCTCCTCACGCAAACAAACAAACACGCACACCTGCCCCTAATTTAGCTCAGCATCTGTTTATCGAGCCACGTGGTACGAGGTTCCATTTTTGGGTGTTGTGCGGTTTCCAGAATCCTCCTGAATTGCAATGACAGAGGCCCGGACATGGAGACAGAGACAACTGTGTGCAGAGGGTCACCTCATAGCTATGAGTGTCGGGCAAGACAGTGGCCAGCCCAGGGGACCCTACAGAAAGAGAGCTGGGCACACAAGCACCCTGACCGCCCTCTCCTCCCTCCCTCTGGTCTCTCCTGGAGCTCCCATTGGCCAAACCCCTGGAGCTCCCATTGGCCAAACCCCATAGGAAGCTAAGGGATACAGGAAACTTCCCTCTTACCCATCAGCCTCCCAAAATTCGGGAGAGTGAAGAGGGAGAGTGGACTTGGCGAGGCAAACCCGGCTTCTCTCGCAATCCACGTCGATCCTGAACTCAAGGGGGACAACATGTGTGGGGGAGGGCAAGTCCTCTCAGGGAATTAAACCACGAGGCAGAATGAGGTAAGTTCTTTTAAAAGAGATTACTTATTGTTTCAGAAAGAGAGGAAGAGAGAAAGAAAGGAGAGAGAAACGTCGATTTGTTGTTCCTCTTATTGATGTATTCATTGGTTGATTCTTGTACCGGCCCTGACCAGGGATTGAACCTGCAGCCTTGGTGTACTGGGGCAATGCTCTAACCAGCTGAGCTACCAAGCCAGGGCTGGAAGTTCTTCTTTTTTTAAAAAAAAAAATTATTTCTTTAATTGTTGTTTACGTACAGTTTTCTGTCTTTTACTCCCATCCCACCCCCACCCCCAAAATTCTTTTTAATAGAGAGAAATGGTCACCATGAAAAGGGCTTCCTTGGGCTGGACCTAGAAGGATGAGCAGAGTCCCGGCTGGTAGAGGAGAGAAGAACACCACCGCCAAAATGAAGAAATGTGCGTCTCTTTCTAGCAGTTTGGTGGACTTCACCATCCACGTATGGAAAGGCAGCTAGTGGTCGTGGTTAGAAGCACCCGTTTCAGCCTGAGAGGAACCAGGGATGGGATAGCGTTGCGCCCCGTCATCCTTGGGGAGTACAGTACGTTCCAAGACCTTAACAGACGCCTGAGACTGTGGATACTATGGAACCCTGTAAGTGCTCTCCTGAATGTGCGCTCTCTCTCCCTCCCCCCCCCCACCTGAGTTAGCTACTGAGGCAATTATGAATTGCCCTGACTGGTGTGGCTCAGTGGCTCTGGCGTCGTCCTGTAAGCTGACAGGTCACTGTTTTGATTCCCAGTCAGGGCACATGGCTGGCTGCAGGCCAGGTCCCCAACGAGGGGTACAGAAGAGGCAACGGATCAATGTTTCTCTCTTACATCGATGTTTCTCTTCTTCTCTTTCTCTCTCTCTTCCTCTCTCTCTAAAAATAAACAAATAAAATGTTTTTAAACATAAAATAAAACTTAGGAGTTACTGATTTCTGGAGTTTTCCATGTACTGTTTTTGGAACACAGCCGACTGCAGGTAACTGGAGCTGCAGAGAGTGAAACTTCTAATGAGGGGGGCTACTGTAATAACAGCGTAGTGTGCATGCTGTGTGGCCTTCGGCAAGTTGCTTAACCTCTCTGACTCTCAGTTTCCTGGACTTCTGGGAAGAGTCCATGAAACAGTATATGACGAGGTCTGTCCAGAAAAAGTGCAGCCATTGCTAATATAACAAGAACCATTTGCACAACATCGATGTCACCTGGCAGCCAAGGAGAGTGGACTGGAATGTGTGTATGTGTGAACAATGACGACTTCACTGTACTAGTCAGTGGGGGCGGTAGACCCTGTTGAATGAGCATGTGCACTCTGTGGCCGTCACATTCAAAACAACTGAGCAAGTAAAGCAATGAGATGAATCTGCATCAAATGCTCTGTTAAGCTTAGACCTTCCTCTATGGAAACTATTCAGATGGTTCAGAAGGTCGTAGCTGTGGGCAACTGGTGACTGGCGGCTTCATCATAACAACATGCCCGCTCATGCATCAAGTCTCATGCAGAGTTTTTTGGTGAAACATCAAATCACCCAGGTGACTTCTGGCTTTTCCCAAAACTAAAATCACCTTTGAAAAGGAAGAGATTTCAGGCAGTCAATGAAATTCAGGAAAATACAACAGGGCAGCTGATGACAATTGGGAGAATTATATAAGGTCCCAAGGCGCCTACTTTGAAAGGGACTGAGGTGTCATTGTCCTATGCACAATGTTCCCTGTATCTTCTTCAGTAAATGTCTCTGCTTTTCATATTGCGTGGCCGGATACCTTGTGGGCAGCCCTTGTGTGTGAGACAGACATTGGACAGTACAGCTCACAACACTGGCAGGAGTCGCAGATACAATTCATGAGCATAAACTCACCAGACTTACTTCCGCCATTCATAGATACACTTTGACCCCAAAAGTCAAGTTGCCACTCCATCTACAGGGCCAGCCTCATAAGACCAAGTGCCTTTCCTGGGATGAGCCCGCAGCCTCTTTCCCTCTGGTCTCTTGGGCCTTCCTGCCTCCTCCCTTTGCTCCCCCTCCTTCCACCAGGGCCTTGACACTACCTGGCCCGTGGCACCCCCATTTCTAGCTCCATCCACTTTGGACAATAGAGTATTTTCATGCTTCTTACTGGAGCATCACTCTAGAAGCTAATTAAGCCCTTTCCCACGGAAAATAGGTTACCTCTCGTAACATAAATGTGAGCCTATTTTTAAAAATCCTCCCTTTGACGGAAAGGAGGAAAAGAATAAACACACAAAATGAGACTAGGTTGTTCATCCTGTCCCATATCTAAACCACAGTGTCCTGTACATAGTAGTTGCTCAATAAGCAGTAGTAAAGGGCTCAGAGGCAGATGTTAGGCAGTTGGGCCACCCAGGGTCAAGTGCTTGGCCACGCCTCCCTCTTTCACCCAGGACAAATTACATAAGCATGATGAGTCTCGGTTTCTTCACCAAGAAAATGGGAAAGAGGATAGGACCATCTCTTAGGATGGCTGTGAGGATTAAACTGAGTAGTCAGCCTCCGGTTCTTAGTGCCTGGCACATTACTAATAGTAATTAGTGTCCATTGTTGATGACACTACTTAGGCCTGTCCAATACTATGCTGTCCCTCAAGGAGGTCACCTATGGCGAATCTATGGAGAAACAGATGTGTTTCCAAACCGTCGTTTCCAAAACACGGTGATTAGTGGAGTGAGCAAAATGCTGGGAGAACTCAGAGGACAAAGTCCTTAGGGAGCCTTTACCCTCACCAGGTGATGCCTGACGTCAGAATCCCGGAGGCTGTAATCCGGGACTTTGTCCAGGTGTGCTCTGGGGCACAGTGGGGCGGGTGGCAGGAGGGAGCTGGAGCTGCGGCTGGGGCAAGAGCAGCCTGAAAGGGACTCGGAGACACTGGGGAGTGACAGAATGGGAAGCGTACCTCTTGTCGGTTGGTCCTCGCCGTGGGCTACCAGCATCTCTCCGACCCATTCACCTTCACCATGGCACTAGCCTGCCGTGAGTTAGCTGGGGCTGGCCTGTCTTGCACACACAGAGACACACAGACGCGCTGCCCTTTACCCTTCTGGGTACCGCCCACAGGGGGCCCTCCTGTTCCTCCTCCTCTGCCCTTGCTTCACCAGCACGGAGGGACCGACAGTGAAGTAGGCGCACACACAGGTGGTGGGAGGGACGGTTAGCACAGGCCTCATTGCACAAAGTGTCTCTAATCTTTCCACTGGTCCTGCTATCCAAGTCATCCCAGAGATAAACTCCCAGGGTGAAAGGAGGGCACTTCCCGATGTAACTTTGCAAAACCTAATCACATCACCAGGCCACTCTGCCTCTGGTGCCCTGTAAATGGATATTTTTAAAGATTTTACTACTTTTTTCTTAGAGAGAGGGGAAAGGAGGGAGAAAGAGAGGGAGAGAAACATGTGCAAGAGAAACATATACATCAGTTGCCTCTCTTACGCCTCCAGCTGGGGAGCTGGCCTGCAGCCCAGGCCCGGGCCGCAACCAGGAATCAAACCGGCGCCCTTTCAGTCTGCGGGCTGGCATTCAAGGCACTGAGCAGCACCAGTGCCTTAGTCAGGGCTAAGTTGATTTTTTTTTAAACTATAAATCCCATATGTATTCCGTGAAGAGCTCACTTGCATTGCATTGCATTTGAGTATGTGTTAAAACTGTTCGTTTGTTACATTAAATATGAATACAACAAAAAGCAGACACATGGGTTATTTTGTTTCCCATTGTATCCCTTGTTTGTAGAAAAGTGTCTGGGTCATTGTAGCTACTCAGTTAACATTTGTTCCACAAAGAAACAAAATGTAAATACTTGAAAGAGTCCACCATTTTTGTAACAACATTGCAGCGTGTCTTCATGTAAAAAATTAAAAACAAAAAAAAATTTTAAGAATACACTGAAAGCCTCGGGAAAAGGAGCGGGGTGAGGGTTCCCACGGCCCTGAAAAAGCATGACACTGGGACTCCCCTGGACACTATGCTTCACTGTCGCCTGAATCTTTATTAGCTAACAGGTTCTAGGCTCCTCAGCTGAAGGCAGTTGTAACACCCCTCCCCCACCCACTCCCTATAACGACTAGGGAGGGGTTACTGGCTTCTAGTGGCAAGGAGTCAGGGACGCTGTGGTGCGGTGCCGGGAACGCCCCAGCCAAACGAAAGTCAGTGTTGACCAGGTGAGAAGCGTTACCCGGGTTGCCAGATCCTAGGGGGCCTCACTGCGTCTCCAGACTCAACACAGGTTCTGACCGGGTGTTGAATAGAGGTCAGCCAGAGACCGGAGGGCACACGGTGGCCCCCTTTCCCAAGGGGAAAGGGTTGCCAGGAGGGGAAAGGCCTCCCTGGCTTGACAGAAACCCAGTCCCTTGCGTGCTGTCGCGTTCCCGGTGTATTTCAAAGAAAGGCCACGCCAATTTGGAGTGCACTGAAAACTTGAGCATGAAAGGAAAATCCCAGGGTGGATCCCAGGCCGGGATCAGGGCCTTGGTTGCCCCTCCGGGCCCCCTAGAGAAAGCAGCACGCTCGGGTCCCAGTGCCCTCCAGAAAGTGAAGGTGTTCCCGCCTGGCTGGGATTTGCGCCCGGGGTTCCTAGCTCGCTGGAAAGCCACCCACGTGGGAAGCCGAGGCTGCTTTTGCGCTCGGGACTGAACGCTCACCTCCTGGCCCCAGTCGCCGCACGGCCGCCCCGCGGCCACTAGGTGGCGCTGCGCTCCAGCGGGCACCTCTCGGCGCAGGGAGAGACGACAGCCAGCGGAGCCGAGCGACACATCGAACCTGAGCCTCGGGATTCCGGGGACTGGAGGGCAGCGCCGGCAGCCAAGGTAGGATCCCTGAGCCCCCGGCGTTTCCCTTGAACTTGGTTGGGGTGGGCAGCGTGGCGGCCGCCGAGCCCAGCGTGCGTTCGGCCGAGGTAACCAGAAAAGTCGGAGCGGCCACACGTGCTGTTGTGGACCGGGACCCGGAGACCGCAGTCTGCAAGCTGGGCCTAGGGGCAGAGCGAACACCAGGTCGCTCCACATAAACATCCTCTGGAAAGCATGCCCAGAGCGCCGGGCAGCAAGTCCTGGAAGGAGAAAACAGCTCCTGGTGCCCAGAGCGACTCAGCTGAGTGCTGATAAGGTCCAAAGCTCCATTTCTCAAACTTGGCTGCACACTGAAATCGCTGGGGGGTTATTTTCCAAAAGTCTGAAGTCCTAGAAACTCAGACAGAAGTAGTTTGGGTCTAGGCCTGGGCATCTGGATATGTAAAAGCTTCCAAGTGATTCCCAAGAGCAGCCGATGGTGAGGACCCTTGAGGGTAGGAGAAAACCCCAGGATGGTTGTGGTGGCCCAGAATGCTGATTCTTCGTCTTTTCTTCTTCTTCTCCGTCTGTAATGTGCCTTTTAAGCAGGAAATATCTCCGCCGTCTTTGAGCTGTCAAACCCCAGATAACAAACCAACACCCTCCCTCCCAACTGGGCGGGTTTGAAAGGGTTCAACTTGGAAGTGGGCAGACAGCAGACAGACACTGATGTGAAATAAGAGAAAACACTCATGGCCATGGCGGAGCGTGTGGCAGGGTGTCTCCTGACCCTGGTCCCTCGGAAGTCCAGGGGACCGGCTGGAGCCGCCCTCATCATTTCGGTTAATGTTACTGAGTAGCCAGGGCAAGGGTCCTTATTACTAATGAAGGGGACCCAGTATATTTCTATTACAGCCAAGTGGTGACCAGCATGGGCTGCGTCCCCAGCACCAGCCCTTCCTTTTTTGACCCTCCAGAACTCACTGAGCCACCCTAGCCTCAGTTTCCTCATCCGCAAAATGGGTATGCTGGCATCAGGTCCTTGGAATTGGTGTGGGAATTGGTAACCATAAAAGTTAATGTCTGCTAAGGGCGTACCTGTGCCAGGTGCTGTGCTAGATGCTTTCTATGTATCGTCACACCGACTCCTCACCGTGACCCACGAGGCGGGACTGTAATTACTGCACTGGGGCTCCGAGAAGCCAAGGAACTGGCTCGGAGTTGCATAATGCTAGGAGGCAGAGCCTGTGTTGGAACCCAGGCAGTCTGACTCCAGAGCCACGAACAAAGGTACCGTCATCTGCTGTTCCCCTGGTTGGCTCAGGGACCGCAGAGAACACTTAGCACAGGGCAGGCGCCTGCGTGGTACGTTCTCCACAAACACCAGCTCTCACTGCTGCCAGCAAAGCACGTCCCCCAAACCGCCTCATCTGTTCAATCTCCAAGTACCGGTCTCTGAGAGCCCACTATGTGCCGTGCAGTCTGCCAGGTGCTAGAGATAAAGTGGTAAACAAACGACAAAAGCAGGTAAACCAGCCCCCAGGGAACTCACGCTGCAGTGAATGGGAAAAACCAGAAGGAAGTGCAGGGGACCGTCATGATCCCTAACTATACAGATCCTGTAGTGACGAACCCTCCGACCTGCTAAAATGTATTTGTAACCCCAAAACTAGTATCGGCGGCACTTTCACAGTCATTTGTGGGTGTGCGTCGAGTGACAGCCGGTTTGAGTCACCCATTCACGCATGTCCCCAGCTGAGGTTCAAATGAGATGACACTCGGCCTTCTCTGTCAGACTGCACCCGTCCTTGTGGTCTCACTAGTGCCCTAGTTTTCACTCTTTGGAGGCTTTTTGGTGATTTCGCTGTTTAAAATCACTCCCGGGCGCAGTGCGGTGCAGTGCTTCTCCGCACAGGAAGGCAGTGATGGGCCTTACTTGCGAATCTGCGTTAGGTGAGTTTTGTTCAGGCAGGAGTGGTAGTTCGGTTGGCCGTGAGTTCAATGCGAAGGAAGGAACAATATGTATTAAGTGTGGCATCTTGAAACAGAAACACACATGAAACAAGGTTAGGTATTGATCTGTTGATGAAAACGTGACCCGAGACTTGCAGAAATCTAACCCTGTATTTTCCCTAAGAGCGACGAATGGTTCATTCATTATTAGCTAATTCCATGTTCTTGTCTACTCTCTAGAACAGAGCTGCTGTGAATAGTGAGAGGCATCTGTAATCAGACTGCATGCACAATGAAAGAGTCAAGTATAAAGATGGAGAGGTTTACAGAAGGGGTCTGCCTCGGGCTGAGGGGTCAGAAGGACCAAGGAGCAGCCGGGCTGGGGTGTGAGGAGGAAAGAGTGTGTCCTGAAGAAAAAGCAGCATGTGCAAAGTCCCGGAGGTAGCCAAAAGCTTAGCAAGGTCCGATAACTCAAGTATTAGATGTGCAGGGAGTAGGGTGGGAGCAGAGATGCAACCATACAATCACATTCCGGAGGGAGTGGCTGGGGCCAGGTGGCACTGGGGTTCGTGGGCAGCTCTCATTTCATCCAATTAGCCCAGTAACCCTGGCAGGCTGGGCAGGATCATTTCCGCCTTTGACCCATGAAGCAACTGATGCTCCACGCACTTCAATGACTTCCCATCGGCTGCTGGTAGGCAGCAACCCGACCCTCCCGTCTTAGTCGGATGTTTTGCGTGTTGATCAGAGATGGTGGAACATAGTCCTAGGCTGGAGGTTTGGCTTGGTTTGGTCATTCTGGGGAGCAATGCATGACTAAGTGCCTGAGGAATGACGCCCCCAAGCTCAGATGGAATCCCTGGGACTTGGGGCAAAGTGTGGAGAAAATTTCTCATGTCCTTTTAAAAATAAATGTATTCCTGGTCAACACATGAATGCCTCAGTGGAAAGAGTCCTCCGTGCCTGCAGAGGGCGGGACTGATGTAGGAGGTCGTGGAAAGGCAGAGAAAGGAAATGGGAAGGTGTGGTCCACAGCATCCCCTAAGTCCTAGGTGGCGCTGGGCCTCCCCATCCTTGGAGCATCCAGGTCCCAATCTGCCTCTTGTCCCTGCCCAACAGTGACCTTGAACAGGGGCCAGCAAACGTTTTTCCGCAAGGGGCCGAGCAGGAGATATTTTGAGCTTTGTGGACCATATGGTTTCGGCTGTAAATATTCAAAGCTGCCATTACAGAGTGAAAGTGGCCAGAGACATATGGAAACAAGTGAGCATAGCTGGGTTCCAATAAAACTTTATTTAGGGATACTGATATTTGGACTTCGTATCGTTTTTCTGGGTCACAAA